CTTCACTTCAGCCATCATCACTCCAGCCATAATATAAGTATGTGGTTTTCCTCGGTAGCGTAATTGTCCTGATGGTTGTCTTCATGGGTGTTTCGAAGGTTGTCTCACTGGTAAATTCGATGGTTGTCGCGCTGGTTGCATCGATGGTTGTCGCGACGGTTGTCCCATGACTTCCCCGATGTTGCCAGGAAAGAACGCTGTTGCGACGGCAATGTTTCACATGCGCTGCGCCGTCAAATAATTAGAAATAACAACAGATAGCTAGATATGCGCATCGATAAGTTCCCCGATGGCTGTCCCAGCGGTTGTCACGATGGCATTCTCGATGGTTGTTCAGATGGGCCCCGAGAGGGCCCCGAGAGCCCCGAGATGACCCCAAGGGGGCCTCAAGAATACCCTTAAATGAGTGCCAGAATTCTCGTCCTCGTCCTCTTCGTCCTCGTCCTCCTCGCCCTTTCCTCCTCCACCTCCTCCCCCTCTTCTCCTCCTCCTCCTCCTTCTCCTCCTCCTTTTCCTCCTCCTCCGCCTCCTCCTCCTCCGGGCGGCCGCGAGTCTCTCCCGCGCGCCCCGGCGCTCCGCGGTCGGGGGCCGGTGAACACCTCCGCCGCCACGCGAAGCGGGCAGCGCCCCTGGGGGTAGCCAGCTGCCCACGACAGCAGCGACTCCCGGGGGGGCCAGATGGGTCCGCCAGCCGGAGCCTCGGCAGTGGCGTTCCATGGGCCCCTCGGCGGCCTGCAGGCCCCGCGCGGCAGTTCGCCCTCAGCTGGCCCAGGCTGCGCCGCCCGCCTCCAGCCCGCCAGCCCAGCGAGCCGCGCACCTGGGCCCGCGTCCGCGGCGTCGCCGGCGCGCCGCCCCCGCCAGGTGCCCAGCGCCTCGCCGCCCCTCGCCGCCCGCCCAGCCCCCGCCGCCTTGCAGCCTTCGTCGGCGGCCGCGCCAGATCGCGCCCAGCGGCTGCAGCCCCCGCCCCCTGGTCTGCCAGCAGCGGCCGCGCTGCCTGGCCCGCGCGGCCCAGCGCCTCCAAGGCTCAGGCGGGGCGTCGCGCCAGCGTTGCGAGCCGCCGCGCGTCGCGCGGCAGTTCAGCCCGCTCCAGGGCCCCCGCGCTGGGCGCCGGCGGCCCAGCATTGCGCCTGCGTCGCCGCCAGCGCCGCGTCCGCGGCGTTGCGCTGGAGGACGCACCCGAGCGACTGGCGGAGTCGCCGGGCGGCCGCCGAGCGCCCCATGTCCCGCGCCAGCGCAAGCAGCCGCGCCAGGGCCGGCGCCGCTTCTCCCATGCGGCCGCGGTCCTCGACCACGAAGGGCACCGCGGCCACCCTGGGGCAGCGGACCCGCTTGCGCCGCGCCGCGGCCGCCGCGGCGGCGCCGTTCCGTCGCGCAGAGCCGAGCGAGCGCGCCTTGCGCGAGCGCGCCCACGACCGCCAGGTCGACCATGAGCGGCTCAGCGAGGCGCGGGGCCTGGATCACGAGGTCCATCCGCGCCTCGGGCCGTGCCGGCGCTGCGTGGGGGAGCGGGGCTATTCGGCGCACGGTGCACCCCTGCTCCTCACGCCACGCCGCATGCGCCGCGCAGCCAGCGTCGCGGCGGCGGACCAGCTGCCCGCCCGCGGCGCAGCCGCGGGCGTGCCGTTCCTTGGGGCCCAGCGGCGCGCCGCAGATCCCACCGCGCGGGCGCCGGCGCTGGCAGAGCCTCGGCCGTCGCGACCCCGCCGCTGCGCCCGCCGCCGGAGGGGGGGCTGCGCAGCCCGGCAAATCTAGGTTCAGCTGGAGCAGCAGCGCAATGCCGAGCTGCGCACTGGCGGCTAAGCAGCGCCGGCACCCGCAGGAAGGCACTCGCCCCCGGCCGCCCCGCAGAGCGCCCCCCGCAGAGCGCAGGGCGGCCGCCGCCAGGGGGGATCCGCGGCCGCTTCGTCAGCAGCAAGGCGGGCAGCCGCAGCGAGAGGGGCCGTAGCCAGAGCGCGCTGCGTTGCTGTCAGTGCCTCGTCGCCCACGCGGGCGGCGCGGTCTCCCTGGGCGGCCCGGAGCGTCGCCGCGGCCGCCGGCTGGCTGCGGCGCGCCCATGGGCCCATTGCAGTCAGGGCGCTGGCGCTCTCCAGGCCCAGCCGCTGCAGGCAGCGCAGCAAGCAGAGGTGCCGGGAGGCTGCGCGCGCCGCGGGGGCCGCAAGCTCCGCGCCCTGAACCCCGTGGCCCCGTCCGCGCTGGCGAGGAAGAGCTCCCGGCGCGCGGCGTCGCCCTGCGCCGCGCCCAGGGCGCGCTCGCGCTCCGCGGCCAGCGCCAGGCCCAGGGCCCGCGCTTCTTCGCGCAGGCGCGCGCCAGGAAGGCGCAGTCAGAGCCCGCCCTTGCGCGCGGGAGCGCCAAGGCCACGCGCTTGTCCAGGCCCGCCGCGCAGAGGGCGCGAAGCCTCAGGAAAAGCCCCCCGCGGGCGGCCTGCAGCGCGGCGACCTCAAGGCTGCCCGCGGCAAAGAGGCCCCCTTCGGCTGGCACGGCGACAGGTGCCGCTGGAACGGCCGGGAGCGCGCCGCGGCGGGGCACCGCGGCCCGGGGTTCCTGCTGGCGCAGCCCGGGGAGCGCCGCAACGTGGAAATCGCGGCCCGGGCTCAGCTTCGTCTTGTCCGAGTTGCCACGGGGGCCGGCCGCGGTGCAGGCGCGGGTGCAGGCTTCCTCGGCGGCGTCGGCTCTGCTTGGGTCGCAGATGATGTCCAGGTCATCCTGGTAGTAGTAGCTCCTCGCTGGCTCTACCGTCGCGGCTGCTGCCTGCCCCGCGGCGCTGGCCACCCCCTGAGGTAACGCAGAGGGAACACCTGGTCGGTGAGGGCGTCTCCCTGGTCCCCGCCGCGTTCCTTCGGGAGGGGGTTGCGCGCGCCGTCGCGCGAGACGTGCACGCGCGCGGCAGCCGCGCTCAAGCCCAGGCAAACCCAAAGCAGCAAGTCTGGGACCAGGGTCGAGACGGCTGTCGCCGCGGCCGCCCTGTCAAACTCGCTGCGAGCGCTGCGAGCGCCCAACCTGACCTTTCAGCAGCTCGGCGGCTGTCGAGGTCGAGTAGGGCTGCCTTGCGCATGCGCGCTGGACCCCGGGCACTCCCCACCGAGCACTCGTTCTGCCCCGCGGCCACCCTCCCAGCGAACATCTGGCTGACAGCCTTAGAGGCGGCGCGCCTGTGGACGATCCCCAGCGCGAGGGGCCGCACCTCGTCGTGCCCCCCCCGGTCCCCTGCGAGGATCCGCGCTGACAGCCAAGGCCCCTGCACCCCCCCAGGGGCCCGGCCGAGCTGCGGCCGCAGGACCACTCGTTCGATGCTCTCCCAAGCGGCCGCGCGGCGGGGCATCCACGTCCAGCGTTCGTTTCTCGCGCCGCCTGGCCCAGCCCCTCTGTTCTGCGGTGCGCGTGCGTTGGCTTTCCGGAGCTCCACCAAAAAGTGGTCCACGTCCTCCTCCTCTGGGTCCGCCGCCTTTACCGCTGGCTGCGAGGCCGCCCGCGGGAAGTGGTTTGGGAGGCACTGGCGGGCCTTGCTGTCCGAGGCCATCAGGCACCGTCCGTCCACGACTCTGAGGGACTCCCGGATGTCCTCCTCTCTCAGGGCCTCTTCGACGCTCTGGATGTCCCGCGCCAGCTGCTGTGCTTCGGACGGCTTCGTTTCCCCGAGGCCTTCGCGTGGACCCTCGGTCTCCTGCCATTGGATGGCCCAGGAGCTCCCCCACGCCAGCCGGATGCGCCTCGCCAAGGTCCGGGCCAAGGTTTCGCCTCTCTGGCCGCGCGTTCCCCCTCGGCGCCGGCGCACTGCGGCGAAAAGCAGGCGGTCCGAGAAGAGGATCGCCTTGAGGAGCCGCGTCTATTCCTGCTCCGTGGTGGCCGCGAGCGCGGCGTCGCACAGGGCATTGCGCAAATCGGCCACTGCGTACTGGGCCGCCGTGGGGACCACGCGGACGGTCTGCACTGGGTCACGCAGGCGGTCCCAGGCCAGCATGCCCCATAACTCCATGCGCTGCAACTCCCCGTAATGCACCGCCTCCTCCCTTCTCGCTGCCTGATTCCTTTTTTGTCCTCCTGCTTTCCCTGTTGCCGCCTCTGGAGCCGTTCCGACCAAGGGCCCATCAGCAGCTGCGACGGCGGGTGCCGTGAAGGCGGTGTGGGCCTCCGACTGCTTCTCCACCCGGAGGGCGGCCCATCCCGCGAGCTGTTCGACTGGGTCGCACTCCGACGCGACACAGCCAACGTGGTGCACTCGAGCGCCAGGCCCTCCCCGGCGGACACGCGGCGCTCTGGCCGGGATCTCCTCCAGGCAGCTCGCGCACATGGAACGGGTGTGTGAGGTGGGGGCGGAGATGGTCCACGCTCTGCCCCCCGAGGAGGGTCCACCGTCATCTTCGTCCAGCGGGCGCTGCCGTCGTCGCCATGGTGCCTCCGCGGCCGCCACCGCCGCGCCAGGGCCTGCGTCGATCTCCATCCCCGCCACCCTCGCTGGTGCAGCGCCGGAGGCCGCGCCAGCTCTCGCCGCCGCCGCCGCTGCCGCTGCCGCAAGCGCATCGCCCTCCTCGACGTCCACCTCCATGGCCCCGGGTTGGGAAAAGGAGGGGGTTGTGGGTGGGAAGGGGAAGGACGAGGAGGGATGGCACGAGAGCGGATCGATGATATCTGTTGAACAGTGGGGCTCAACGCACGGTCTTCCTCCTCATTCTATTCATTACCCTCCTCCTCCTCCTCCTCCTCCTCCTCCTCCTCCTCTTCTTCCTCCTCCTCCTCCTCCTTCTCCCCCTCCTCCCCCTTTCCTCCTCCTCCTCCTCCTCCTCCTCCTCCTCCTCCTCCCCCTCCTCATCCTCCTCCTCCTCCTCCTCCTCCTCCTCCTCCTCCTCCTCCATCGCCATTTTGGCTCAAGCTCTCCTTAGAGCCCGATGGGTTCTAAGGGGGTGAGAGCCCCGCAGCCTGGGCTCGAGACCTCCCGAGAGACGGCGCGGTGGGCGTCCAGGCGGGGCGAGGGCGGAGGCGCTGCGGCGATCGGCGTCCAAGCCATGGGCCGGCCGAGGCGCGCTCGTGCTGCAAACGCTTGGGCGCCGGCGGTGCCGCCCGTGGCTCCGGCGAGGCAGCCTCGGTCGGCGCCCAATGCGCGGCGCGGTGGAGGAGTGGCAGGTGGCGCTGCCAAGGCCAGGCAGGTTGCGCTGCCGGAGGCCGTCGACGAGAGCGTCGAGAAGATGGCCCACGTGCACTCCAGCGTGGTTGAAGAGGGGGTGATCATCGAAGAACTCCTGCGGTGCCTGGTTCCGCGGGCGGCGGGGTTCTCCACTGGTGAGGACGAGTGCGACGAGGCGCAGCAGCAGCTCGACTTCGCGTTCAAGTTGGCCACCATCGATTGCAAGATCCAGGCTGGGCAGGTGAAGATCGGCAATGCGGACGCCGTGAAGGCCGAGAAGAGCTCGGGGGTGCCTCTGGGGAGCGAGATCGAGGAAGCGCTCGGCGTGGCGGCGCTGCCCGCGGTCCCGCCCTTCCCTTCCCTTGCGGCTGGTCGTGCCGCAAGCCATGCTGCTGGTGAAGCTGGTCGCGAAGATGGGCGTGGTGGAGGGCGCGAAGCTGGCCGTGGGAACGGGCGTGCCGATGCTGACGCTGATGGCGCCGCTGACCCAGCAGCTCGTGAAGCTGGTCGCGAAGCAGGTGGGTGCGTTGAAGATGGCCTTCCGGGACATGGAGATGGTCGGGAAGCCGGGCGTGCTCAAGGTGGCCATGCTTGCCGCGAGACTGGACGTGACGGAGTGCTGGGCCGTACCGGTGCTTTGGAGGGCAGTTCCCTCCAGGCCCTCGGGATCCAAAGCGTCGGCGTCCTGGCTACGCGGTGGGCCGACGACATCGACGACGTGCACACACTGGCTGTGGAGTCACAGGTGGTCGAGCACGCATTCGAGGGCGTCGACACGCAGGTCAAGGTCGCGGATGGCTCAGACGAGCTGCTTGAGGAGTTCGCCGACGGCACCATGGAGAGCAATGGGTCCGACGGCTGTGACGCGGGTGTCGACGAAACGTTCGACGAGGAATAGATGGAGAAGATGAGGGATGATGCCGATGCGCCGTTGGGAGCGCGCGCAAGTCAAGAAGCAAGAATCGACGATAAAGATCATCGAGCTGCAGCAGACGATCGCGTTCCGTGCCGTTCTCCGTATTTGGCGGCGTACTGCAATGGGGAATACTGTTGGGTCGTGAACATGCCAACGATCTTGAAGAGCATGATGGGCTCCTGGTCGTCGGTACCCGACTGCTTGCACTCGGATGCCTTTAGGGGTGAGCCAAGCCCGTCGCGTCCGCGGCCCGCGCGCGAGCGAGGCGGGACTGACGCCTGCCTGCTGAGAGAATCGCGGGGGAGGAGAGTGGTCGGAGGTTGGGGATTGAGATCGAAGTGGAACGGAAAGCCCCCCACCGCGAAATCGGTTTCGGTTTCGTGTTCGTGCGTGCCGTGCGTGTGGGCGAGGCGAAGCTGCGTGGGCGGGCGAGAGAAAACTCTCCTGTGGCTGACGCGCGGCCGGACCAAATGATTCCCCCCCGGCAAACGGGGCCGCGCGGTGTCCCGCCGGCGTCCCGCCGGTGTCCCGCTGGTGTCCCGGTAAGTCTCCTGTGGCTGAGGCGCGGCCAGACCACATGTTTCCCGACCGGCAAACGGGGCCGCGCGGTGTCCCGCCGGTGTCCCGCCGGCGTCCCGTTGATGTCCCGGTGTCCCGCTGGTGCGAAAACGATAATGAGACCGATAGTGAAATCGATTGTGAAATCGATCGTGGAATCGATCGTACGATCGATAGTGAGATCGATCGAGTGAGATCGATGGTGAGATCGACTGTGGGATCGATAGTGAGAGCGATAGTGGGATCTTTGGTGCAATCGACTGAATAATAGCAATAATGAGATCGATCGAGTGAGATCGATAGAGAGGTCGATAGTGATATCGACAGTGCGATCGATGGAGTGATATCGTTAGTGAGATCAGTAGTGAGATCGATGGAGTGATATCGATAATGAGGTCGATAGTGGGATCGAAAACGGGATCGAAAGTGAGATCGACAGTGCAATCGATCGAGTGAGACCGATAGTGAGATCGATCGAGCGATATCGATAGTAAGGTCGATAGTGAGATCGATCGTGGGATCGATCGTGAGAACGATTGCGAGACGCAAATCGGAATGCAGATAGACAAGTTAATCGAAAGCAAATCGACATGCACATCGATAAGCAAATGCTATGGCAAATCGTCAGGCGCATCGACACCCCATGCTGCATGCTGTGCCAAGAGCGAGCGGCAACGCAACAATCTCTGAACACCAAGGCTCCCGATACGAACGTTGGCGGAACAGGCTCTGAAGGGTCGCTCCAAGAAGCTCCCGGGAGGCCCCAAGGGCCCCAAAGAAACCCAAAAAGGCTCCCAAGAGGCCCCCAAGAGGCCCCCCAAGAGGCCCCCAAGAGCCCCCCAAGGGGTCCAAAAGACGAGCCCAAACGGCCCCCCAAGTCCTGACGCAGTACTCGCAGCGCGCGCGCAACGAGTTGCAGTTCGACGCGCAGGTCTGGGACCTGGGGCAGCACGCAGGCCGAACCGCGGGTGCGTGCTTCTGGCTATACCTCGCAGCAGGCCTGGCCGAACGCGGGCCAAACGTTTTGGCCCAGGCCTTGCCAAGCAATACTCCAGCCCATCAAGCGGCAGGCCAACTGAAAGCACAGGGTGTGCAGCAGTGTGTCGACGCCGGCGTGCGTCACTCGCCTTTGGGCGTGGTGGCGGAAGCTCTCCGGACCCGGTTCTGCGGCGGCGAAGCCGCCGTGCTGCTCAGAGCCGACACGAAGAACAGAACATACCCGGCCTTTGCTGGCCTGGATGTCCAGGGCCCCGTGCGCACCGAGGCGCTGTACACTCGCTGGGTACAGAAGCTGGCAACTAAAGAGTACGCGGGCGAGTTGGTCGTCATGTCGGCCGCCTTGGAGTTGGGCACCCGCATCACTGCCATCCCTTTCACTCCACCGATGGCACTGGTGCAGTGGGCGATCCCGTCTTATGGGCCAGAAAACGCCACCGTCGTTGTTAACATGGGCAACAATGAACTGCATTATGTTTATCTGTCGCGGCAATCGTGATGGCGCCGGACGCCCGCACCAGACTTTGCCGCCGGCCGGCTCCCGCCGCCTGTACGTTCGGATGCTCGACCGCGCGGGGCCGGAAAAGCAGCAAGCGTGCGCCATCCCCGAAAGGCTCCCAAGAGGCACCCAAGAGGCCCCCAAGAGCCCCCCAAGAGGCCCCTAAGAGCCTCCCAAGAAGTCCAAAAGACGCGCCCAAACGGCCCCCAAAGCCCTTGCAAAATGCACAAAATAAATGATTTCATTAGTTCCTGGGGAGGGGGGTAACTGGTACCAAGGTGCCCAAGAGCGAAGGGTGACGTAAACAACTCGACACCAAGGCTCCAAAAAGCGAGCGGCAACGCAACAATCTCCACTGGCATGGTCAGAACAACAATCACCTGTTGCCCATTGCTAGCCCCCTCCCCCCAACCTCCTCATCACCCGCAGGGTGGTCGTATAGGTATTCCCGTCGTTGCGGAGGTGAGCCCTGTATCATCGGAGTGTGGCCATGCCGTACTGGGGGCTGTGGTGCTCAGTGCGGGGTGGCGGTGCTCCGCTGTTGGGGTGTATGTTCGTGGCCTCGGGACTGGCCAAAAGGTTCCAAAAGGTTCCCCCTCCTCCTCCGCCTCCATTCTTTCTCATTAGACAAGTGGCACGCGTGCCATTGTTCTTGCACAGGACAGAAGGGGGAGGAGGCGGAGGGGGCGCGCTGGCTGGTGGATGGGGTGGTGGAGGGGGCACTCGGGATGGGGGGCGGTGCCGTACGGGGCGCTCGGGATGGGCGGGGCGGGGGCCGTGCCGAAATAAAGGGGCCGGGGCGGAGGGGGCGCGCTGGCTGGTGGGTGGGGTGATGCGGAGGGGGCGTGCGGGATGGCGGGGGGGGGCGGTGCCGTGCCGAAATAGAAAAGGTCGGGCCGCGGGGTGATGCGGAGGTAGCGCGCGGAATGGGGGGGGGGGGGGCGTGCCCGAAAAAGAAAGGTCGGGGCGGAGGATGCGCTCTGGCTGGTGGGTGGGAGGATGCGGAAGAGGCGCGCGGGAAAGGGGGGGTGCCGTGCCGAAATAAAGGGCTCGGGGCAGAGGGGGCGCTCTGGCTGGCAAGTGGGGTGATGCAGAAGGGGGCGCTCGGGATGAGGGGGGGCGGTGCCGTAGGGGGGCGGTGCCGTGCCGAAATAATATGGTCGGGGCGGAGGGAGCGCGCTGGCTGGTGGTCGGGGTGATGCGGAGTTGGAGCGCCGGATGGGGGGGGCGGTGCCGTGCCGAAATAGTGGTCGGAGTTCTAGAGACCCTGCGCAAAAGAATATCGCGGTCGGGGCGCAGGGGACGCGCTGGCTGGTGGGACCGGTGCCGTGCCGAAACGAAATAAAGCGGTCGGGGCGGAGGGCGCGCGCTGGGGTCGAGGCGGAGGGGGCTGGTTGCGCGGGGAGGGCGACGGGGGTGGGCGGTGCTGTGCCGAAAAAAAGAAATCGGGGAGGAGGGGGCGCGCTGAGGAGGGGGAGCGGGGGCGGCGCCGTGCCGAAATAATTTGGTCGCGGCGGAGGGGGCGCGCTGGCTGGAGGGCTGCTTCGGCATGGCTGCTTTAGGATGGATGCGGAGGGGGCGCGCTGGGAGGGGGGGCGTAGGGGCTGCATCGACTGGCGCCGTGCCGAAAAAAACCGTCGGAGCCCTAGACACCCTGTGCAAGAGAATAACTTCTTCCTGTGGCACTCCGAAGCCAATTTGAAGGTGGGCCTGGCGTTTCGCCTTAGATTTCCTTACCATTGAGGACCCTGAAGTGTAAAAACTTGTCACAGTTTCACATATGGAAGACGGATCGTTTTCAAAATGTCGCTCTCACATTAGCGCCGCGCACATTCATTTCGAACATTTGAGAGAGCGTCACGGATTGAGGGCGGGTGAATTTCAAAATGTAGCTCTCGCCTTAGCGCCGCACACATGCGTTTTAAACCTTTGAAAGAGCTTCACGGATTCAGGGCAGGTGGTTTTCAAAATGTGGCTCTCGCCTTCGCGCCGCGCACATTCGTTTCGAAAATTTGACAGACGCTCACGGATTGAGGGCGGGTGGTTTTCAACATGTGGCTCCTACCTTAGCGCCGCGCACACTCTTGTTGAACATTTGAACAGGGCTTCACAGATTGAGGGCGGATGCATTTCAAAACGTAGCTCTGGCCTTAGCGCCACGAACAGTCGTTCAAAAAATTGAAAGAGCTTCACGGATTGAAAGCGGCTCCTTTTAAAATGTGGTTCTCGCCTTAGCGCCGCACGCATTGTGTGGAATTTGCGAGAGTTTCACGGATCCCCACGGTCAGCGAAGAAATAGTGTTTTGGAAAGAGTAGGATGAGGAAGGCGCAACATGTACGTTCACTCGCGGAGCTGAGGTCCCAGGAATGGCGTTCTGGCAGAATTCAAATCAAAACACGACAGTCAGGTTGACCCGTGGCGAAATGCCGAGAATTTTTTTTGGCATGCCTCAAGGTATTCAAACTTCCAACGAGACAGTTCCCGAGGTGGAAGTGGACCGTTGTAGGGGTCTATGAAAAGAGGGGTTGGCGGGAGGGATTCTTCCAACATCGTTGACGACTCTTGGGTTTCAACTGGTCCTGCTCCTCCTCCTCCTCCTCCTCCTCCTCCTGCTCCGTCTCCTGCTCCTCCTCCTCCTCCTCCTCCTCCTCCTGCTCATCCTCCTCCTCCATATATTCCTCCTCCTCCGTATATTCCTCCTCCTCCTTCTCCTCTGCCTCCTCCTCCTCCTCCTCTTCTTCTTCTTCTTCTTCTTCTTCGTCTTCTTATTCGTATTACTAGTATTGTTATTATTAGTCCTTCTCCTCCTCCTCCTCCTCCTCCTCATCCACTGCCGATCTCGAATCTGTTTGCCCCCTTCGAGGGGCTCTGTGGCTGCGGGTGTCAAAAAAAAAACATCCTCCTCCTCCTCCTCCTTCTCCTCCTCCG